TTATTTGTTTTTATTCTGTTTTTATTTGTTTTTATTCTGTTTTTATTCTGGTTTTTATCTGTTTTTATTTGTTTTTATTCTGTTTTTCTTCCACTTGTTCTTCTCGACGTGTCTTCTTTGTCCACTGTTGTCCTTAAAGCAGGTCTCGGCTGTAGACCAGTCCCCGAGGCTCAGTGGGACTAACCTGTACAAATAAAGCTTGAAGGACAAATGGACCCAGAGGCGAACTGTCCTGCAGTGACCTTTGACCTGTAGAGTCCAGGTGGCGCTCGTGTCTCTGATCACTGCACGGTCTGACCTTCAGGGTGAAGGTCTGTGTGAAGAATCTGTCTCTCTGCAGGACAGAAGAGTCTGGAAATGACCTTTGACCCCTCCCAGACCGATGGGTCAGCTCTCAGGATGTCTTTCCACCCTGGCTGTGCAACACATCTGGATGCTCTGATGAGATTCAGGCGAGAAAAGGTGCAGCTGCAGTCCTTCAAAATAAAGTTGAACGTTTAAAAAGTCACGTTTCTTTTAGCTCAGCTTCAGGAAACGTGTCGTTACGTCTCTTTTATTTGTTTTCAGCTCTTTCAAGGACTTCTCCAGGCGGCCTGTTTTTATTTTAACCTCCAGTTTTGCACTTTATCAACATAAAACGAGCTGAGAGGAATAATCCGAAAATTACTCGTTTTTTAGGCTGAAATTAGAGGACGGGAAAAACAAGTGTCCGTGAACGCATCCTTCCGATCAGCTCAATAATTGATCAATAAGGTGAAAGGGTTTGACACATGCAGTCTGTGACTGTTGGTGATTCATGCAGTGTTTTAGGGCCGCAGTAGTTTGTAACTCGGAGCGGAGGAACAAACTTTAATCCAAACTGGAGCTAATCCTCAAACTTGGGTTAGCGGCGGAGCTACAAGTTTCCGCCGAGCTTCGGACAACTCACCCCGGACTCCAAGCGGACTCTGCCCGCTCCTGTTAGTCCATGCCGGCTCGGTTCATCTGAGGGCTCAAGGTCCGGCCATGATCTCGGAAGTGGACCGTGCAGTCGGGGTTCGTGGGAGCGACTCTTTGAGCTGACCACATCCCGACTCCTGAAGCTCTTCCCCGGCTGCAGCCTGCGGGAGGAGGCGGGTCCGCTGGAAGGCGAGCTGCGACCATATAAGGGCATGCAGTACTTCCGTTAATCCGGAAGAGGGCAGTAAAACGAACCAGCTGTTGCCTGGATTCTGCCTTTTTGATTAAAAAAATAAAACTTTCTAAGTCGTGATTACAACATATTATGAATTAGAATCCCATAATTAGGAGATAATTTAAAAATGAAACCATAAAAATTATCTACTTTTTTCGTACGTTTCGTACTTGGAACCTGTTTCCTGGAATATCTTACAAAAACATCTGAAGCTCTCGACTTTGACCTCTAAGAGATTTGAAACATCTGCTAAGTTCAATGCAAAAATCAATGCAGACATGTTCCTGTTTTTAGTTTTTAGTGTCTTACACAGTTTCATAATGTAGCTTGTTTTTATTGTGTTTTATATCACTATTTTTATTTACCTTTCATTTTATATGATGGTCTATTGTTGATTGTACCTCACCTGTGTTATTTATTTATTTATTTATTTGTTTAAAACAGGTCTCTCTTGTAAATGAGTCTTTGTGACTCAGTGAGACTAACCTGTCGAAATAAAGGTTGAATGAATAACATGCTAAGACAAAAATATGAGAAATAATCTTGTATCTTATAGTTCAAGTTCAAGTCAACTTTGTTGTCGTTTCATCACATGTGGTACATGAGGTGGAATCTTTTTCATCCTTGTCAGGGATTTTTAGTCTTTTTTCGTTCATTCAAACTTTATTTCTACAGTATATATTTATTTTTCCCATTTGTTTGGAGAAACCAACTTCCTATTGTTGTTTTTGTCCTTGAAAGCATCAATCTAGGGGCGTGGTCACACTGACAGAACCCGGAATAAGAGCGGGAGTGGGCGGGGCTTGGAGACGCACCTTCCGGTCCTGGCAGCCTCCACCCAGCAGGTGAAACTCGGATAACTCTTGTGTGGAACCACAGCTCACTGGGACAGGTAGGAGAACCTTACTGGGACCGGACCGGAACCAGGATCTGGTGTGGGCTCACAGTTGGTTTCTGGCTCAGACCGAGTTAGTTTCAGGTGTTGGTTCGGTTCGGTTCGGTCTGATTGAAGTTCCTTTTAGTTTGTTGGGAAGGCGCATGCGCGTTCAGATTGTTGTCGAGAAAACTTGAAAAGTTCAGAAGAAAAGTGCGTGAACTTCCGGTGTGCCACAAACTGTTTGAAGTGGAGAGCTCCAGAAACACCTGAAGGTGTGCACTTTGACCTCTAAGGGATTTTAAACAAATGTTAAGATCAATACCTGTTTTTATTTTTACGTCTCTTTATAATCTGTTGTTAATTTAGTTTAATATCACTCCTTTGATTTACTTTCCATTTTATCTGATTGTCTGTAGCTCATCTGTCAATCAGGTTTTTGTTGTGAATGAGTCGTCGAGGCTCAACGAGACTAACCTGTAGAAATAAAGTTAGAATTAATTCATTTTATTTACTTGTTTATTTAAGCAAAGATATGAACAAACAATGACTTGTGCTTCAACAGTCGTTTAATTTACATATAAATCACTCCGGTGTACGAACAACAACGTGTTGTCATATGTTCTCATAAAATGATGGAATGAGTTCTCTGCAGGTACCCGTCACACTTGAGACACATCCATCCAGGTGTGACGGGTAAGGACACGACGACAACTGCTCCACAGGAAGTCCTTCATCCCTGTGCCTCTCCTCCCCCTCTCTGCACAGAGGACAACAAAATTCATCCATCATCTTTTACCCCATTCTTCCTTTTTGGGTAACAGGGGTCACTGTCTGTGTCCAGCAGTCACTGTGCGAGAGGCGGGGGACACCTGGACAGGTGTCCAGTCCATCACAGGGGGACACCTGGACAGGTGTCC